AACGGCCCTATACTAGCCTTATCTCCGGAGGCTGCGTATGCAAACAATGGGGAGGGAGCGAGACGGAGGTGTGTGTGCGTGTGTGATAGCGAGTGAGTGTACCTACGTAGTCGTTGTTTGTACGTGTGCGTGGGCGCCACAGCGACCTCGATATAGGTGAGAACATTGGACCCCGATCACTTTGAGCGAGCTGTGGCAACCAAGGGCTTCGCGACCACCGCGACCACGATGGTGGTTCAGCCCAAAAGTTCAACCCGTTTTGCCGCCCTTCTCCTTCACCACATTAGTGCCTTTTTAGGTCGTCGCTCTGCTGCTCTGCTCTAGCCTCGAGAGAGCTACGCCCCGCTTCGCCCGGCCGCGCTGATCTGGCGCTGGGGTCCTATGGCATGGGCGCATCCTTGTACGTTTCCATTCAGCCGGAAGGAGGGGGGGGGGGGAGGGTAGAGCGGGGTAGAAGGCGTGGTGTTTCTCACGGGTGGCATCCCGCGCTGCTGCGGGCGAGTGTGTATCCCACAGCAATCTGCCACCCTCCCCCTCCCCCCTCACCCCAGCGGTACTTCCAGCCCCCCGCTGATGGTTGAAGTTGTAACCATGAGTAGCCGTAACGCAGGGCGGGCCGCGATGGGCTGCAGCGACGCATGCAGTGCCGCAGCTGGTGAGCGGTGAGCTGCAGTGAGGCGCGGGCTTGGACGGCGTTCAAGTTCAAGCTCGGCTCTAAGTAAGGATTTCCTTTACCCCCCACCTCCTCAGGAAGCGACACATGGCATGTGACAGCGCATGTGACGGGCGCGTTGAGCATTTAGCATGAGTGCCGGTCTCGCTCGCACTCGCCTGCCGTCGTCGCCCGGTGACAAGCTTGTAGATGGACGCCGCTGTTGGAAAGAATCGAGAGGGATTGTTACAGAATACCACTACGCTGCGATCAGCAGCAGCCGGGTGCAGCGCGGACGGAAAAGGGTTTGCCGAGTCCGCGGCGCGCGCCAGTTCGCTTCGCAGAAGCTCCGAGTCCACCGAGTGTCTCTTCTTCTCTCCGCGGAAAAGGGTGTCAGGCGAGACTGCACGGCGTAACTCTCCGCTCTCCCCCTGCTCTCCTGGCCAGCCCTTCCCCTGCCCCTGCGGCTCCACGGGCCCTCTCCCTCCGGGCCGCTCGCGCAAACTGAACACTTTTCTTGACTGCCCCTCCTTCCTCCTCACCGCACCACCACCACACAGCACGGAGCAGCAGATGGCCGCGTAGATTTGCTCCTCTGGAAACTCGCGTAAACAAAACCCTTTCTCGCTGCAAAACATCCCAACAGTAAATCACACCTGCTCGGCGCGCTACCCGGCCCGCCCGCCCTGCTGCGCCCGCCAGTGACAGGCCGCGCTCCGCAGCCCGGGGCCCCGGGGCGGAATAGGCAACTGCTTATTGTTTTTGCATTTAAAAATTATTGCCCCGCGTGAGAACTGCTGCGCTCCGCGCCGCGGGCCGCCCCCGGCGTGGCGGTGGTATTGCTGCGCGCGTACTGCGAGGCGTTGGCCCCCCGACTGCCTCTCTTCCCATTCCCCTGTGCTGCGCTGCGTGGTGTGCTTTCTTGCCGACGGAAGCGCTGATTTCAGGTTTCACGGTGTCATCGCAGTTGCTATTCACAGAGTGCACGGGCAACGCCTGGAACTGAATAGGGTAGGGTGTATATAGTGGCGCGATGGAGAACTCCGCCCTCCCCGCTCACCTTGCCCGCCCCGCCCCGCTACACGCATTTCACCGTTTGATACTTGTCGTGCGCGTCTTTATTTCTTTTCAATTTATTGGAAAACCACCTCACTGTCGGAACTTGGCGAATTACATTTTTCGTGGTCATTTGAAATCCTGAACCTACTATTTACCGTTACCGCCCCCTTGAACGCGAATAGAACCGCCGCCCTTTTCCCTTTCTTAAGTGTCACTTTCTATTTCAATAACTAAACGTGCGATCCATTACGCCGCCCATTATATCCGGGCGGTAATGACTCCGCGATTGGAAGTGACGGCGCACATATTCAACTTTTCGCAGTGTTGGCATTAGCGGTGTGGCGCGGTGCCGCCCCGCCCCGCCCCGCACACCTTTCACCGGCCGCACTAGCTCTGCGCCGTGTGCTGCTACTTCAGCTGCAGCACGCCCTTGAGCTGACAATGAGAGCCGGCGGCGGCGGCCTGGCAGGTGGAGGTGCGAGACAGCCGCTGCACCTGCAGCTGCCGCAGCTGCAGCTGGCTCTGCGCTCTGCACGGCTCTGCTCTGCACCCGTCCAGGAGGGCGGCGGCGCTTCCTGCGAGCCTCGCTTGTGCTGTTGCGCGGGGTAAAAGAAGCGCGGAGGAGGACACATTAGAGCGCCTTGCTCCTGCCGCTCGTCTCGGCCGTCACCGTCACGCCGCCCGCACCCTCCTCGGTACTTTCAGATATCAGCTGAGTGGATGAGTTCGTATAGAAAGTGTAACGCACTCTCAACACTGGAGTGTGGGCGGCGTCATGTGAGTCTCACACCGCGCATTCATTGCGCGAGTGAAGGACCTCGCGACAGCTCCGAGTGCCTCAGTGCTTTGTGTGCCGTCCCGGGTCGCCCTGGACAGTGTTTCTCTTCCCAGACGTGATCGTCACGGCCCGGGCCGCGCGGGCACGCCGCCCTTGGCCGCGGCGGCCCCGGCAGATAGCAGGGCTGGGTGACGACGACGCGGCGTGCCAAGCGGACTATCGTGAACTTTCGTCGGCTATCTTTTTAGAACCCCGGCAACGTTGGAACGGCCGGAGACGTTGTCGGTGCTCGGACT